TTTTTTTTTTTTTTTTTTTTTTTTTTTTTTTTTTTTTTTTTTTTCCTTTTTCATCCTCCATTTTTCTTTTTAATAGGAAACCGTTCTTATATCCCACCCTCATGGAGTTCCAGCAAGAACATTAAGTTTGAGAAGTTCAATTACTGGAAGGTTCCATTTTTTATCCCTACCCCATTTGTCTCTCATTCTATCTTCATGGGGGCCAATGTGATTGTGGTTTGTGCAGGGTTGTTCAAGTTATTCTTGAACAAAACCATAGTAAGGAGCATCCATTCCTGGAGAAGATCATCAGATTCTACGCACCTTACTGGTTTTCTATTTCTAGATGTCCTCCTCTCACACTCCGTCTTGTAGACAGATTAGGGAGAAAAGATTCACGAAAGATTTATCACCGGCTTAAGTCCAAGACTAATACTGACATATTTGAGGAAATAACTGATGAAGAAATACACGAGGGTTACACAATCGCTTCTGCTCTGAACTTCAATTCGTTGGGCCTCTCTGTGTCAATTAATCAGACTGGGAAAAATCAGTGTGGAGATGTTAAAGAACTATCTCCTCTGGGTGACATGGTAAATTTCAAATTTTGGGTCCATTATCTTCTTAAAATGGTCAAGGAGTTCTTTATTAATTTGATTTTATCTGCAGGATGGATCCTTAGATCTCTATGCTTGTGATGATGAGGAAGGAAAACGTATGCAGCTTTTCATTTCTACAAAACCATGTCCCTATCCATCTGTACCAACCAAGGTAATTTTTAGATTTGAGTTACTGGATGCTTCCTGTTATGCTCTCTCCTCTTTCGCATCACCCTCCAAAAAGTTGTGTTTTCTCATTTAGTACGCTTTCTACCTCTCTACAAGTTCGTGGTGATGTTTTTGTGAATTAGTTTATTTTCCCCTAGCAATTTTAGCTGTTATCATGGTTCTCTTTGGTCTATTTTCTCTTTGCTCTTGTTCTGTGAAAAACGAAGGCTAAAGTCCTTTGTGACGGCTTGTTCGTTCGCACAGTATTGTTTTCAAGAGTAAAAAGGTGGACAATTGACTCTCATGCTGGTCTCTCTGGACTCCCAATCTATAATCTCCTGCATACATGCATAAATGTATTGACCTGGTGCGAAAAGGCTCTCTTTTTGCAAGGTGAAAATTTAAATGGTGGATCTCATCTGGTTAACTGGAATGTTGTCTCTCAGCCTCATCTGCCTGGGTAGACTAAGGAGGGAGTGTAACAAGGGTCCTCTTAGCTAAGTGTTTTTACCTCCCCTGCCCAAAAAAAAATAAAAACAAAAATAATGGAACTAATACTTGTATTTCAATGGGTCAATAGTATACATAGCCTTCTTATATAGGAGAAACTCAATACAAAAAGGGAAGGAATCAGAATTAGAATAAAATAAAATCATTGGTGATTGCAATAAATTAACATATTTACAACCGTTTGCTCTGTACTTGGGACATATGAGATACATACCACCCCATTTTCAACTTTTTCCTTTATGAAGTGTTTTTCGACTTTGATATGCTTTATCCTGTCATGTTGAACTAGATTATGAGCTATTGCTATTGTCACAGTACACACATATAGGTGTCTTTCAAAAAAAAAAAAACCTTCATTTCTTCAAGTGATCTTTTCATCCATATTCCTTCACATATACAGTTAGCTTCAGCCCTAAATTCTTCTATAGGGCTACTTTTGGCTACCACATTTTGTTTTTTACTACATAAAGTGACTAAGTTAACTCCAACAAATGAACAATAGCCCGACGTAGACCCTCCATCCACTGTAATTCCTGCCCAATCAACATTAGTATAATTTTCAACCTGTAGATGGTTGTGATTTTTAAACAATATCTTTTTTTGGAGTACCCTTCAAATATTTCAAGATTCTATATGCAGCTTCCAGTGAATCTGTCCTAGCGAGTGCACAAATGTAATATCTGGACGTGTATGAGACAAATAGAAAAGTTTCTCGTCAGTCTTTGGTACTATAGCTAATCCTTCACTTCAAGTTTGGTTCAATATCTGTAGCAGCTCTCTTGCATCCAAGTAAACATGTTTCTCCAAGTAAATCTGTAGTATATTTTCTTCGTTTCACAGAGATACCTTTTCTAGATCTCGTGAACTCCATTTTTAGGAGATACATTAGTGTTCTTAGGTCTTTCATTTGAAATGCACTTGAAAGCTTTTCTTTAGAGTGTTCAATTCTGCTTCGTCATCACCTGTAAGACGTCATCTACATATACAATTAAAACCGCGTTCCTAGGACTTTTATTTGAAATGCACTTGCAAGCTTTTCCTTTAAAGTGGTCGATTCTACTTCGTCGTCAACTATAAGAATAATGTCAATCAAAATCACATTTTTATAATTTGTAGAATGCTTATAAAGATGGTGTAATCAACTTGACTTTGAAGGAATCCAAGGCTTGTAGCTATTTTCATAAATCGTTCAAACCATACTCTTGGAGATTGTTTGGGCCCTTATAGAGATTGCTCTAGCCAACATTCTTTTTCCTTCAATATTACCATGAGAAGCATTTTTTACATCAAGTGGGTAAAGAGGTCAATCTTAGCAGCAAGAGCAAAAGTTTCCTAATAATCAATCTCATAAGTTTGAGTGAATTCTTTTGCAACTAGTCTTACTTTATATCTTTCAACACTATCATTAAAATTACATTTTATGGTAAAGACTCGTTTACATCCCACTATTTTCTTATCTCTCGACAAATCTACCGTTTTTCATGGCAGAAAGACCAAAAAGTGCAGGGTCTTCCTTTGGAGATAGTCCTTTGTGGCTTCCATAAGATGGAGAAGATCCAAAAACATTTCCTTCTATGATGCTTTACTCTAATTGGTGCTTCTTGGAGTGCAGGAGAATGTCTCACTAAGATTATGTATTTCCATACTTACATTGAGAAATAATACATGTCAAAAGATCATCGCTAGTCCAAGGGTCAAGCTCAATAATTGTATGATCTCATTGTCTAGATATTTTAGGAATAAAGATTTAGATATTTAGATATTTTAGGAGTAAAGATATCTAGGTATTTTAGGAATAAATCTAGAAAATGTGTAATCTATATAAATACCACTCCACCCCTGCTAAGTTGTTCATCCCTAACAAAGCAAAGTGTAGTAGTTTCTATAGAGTATTCAACGGCATACTCTTCTACCGGAGTAAGCACCACTACAAGAATGAATAGAATAATACAAATAATATAATCACATAATTACACTGCTAATAAAAGAAGAAAACGAATCCGATATTTCCAGCTGATAATTATTAAGAACAAACCAACACCATCTTTTCTGTTTTGTCTCCTGGTAGTGTCTCTCTTTGTTTGAAGCTGCTGGAAACTTCTAACATGGCTTGGGTTCAGTGCAAGTGAACCCGAGTCTTTTCTTTTTTAGGTTGTCATTGATTTGAATTCTAGTCAGTATTCAGAAGATGCTTTAGATTAACAGGTGTACGATTGTGGATAGTTTGATTATAGTTATTTTTTGGTTTTATTGATCAATTGGAGATATTCTCTATAACTATATGATCATCTGCATATCTTACCTTCTAATGAAATTCAATTTTTTACCCAAAAAGAGTAACTATTTTATGCACCTTCTTAAATCACAACCATATTATTTTAGGTGATTTCAGTTCGCCCATTCATGACCTTTACCAACCGGCTTGGTCATGATATTTTTATTAAGTTAAGCGATGAAGATGAAACAAAAGTTCTCCATCCGTGTGATTCAAGAATGTCATTTGCCTTTCTGAAAACTGGTGGGCATGATAAATTCCAGGTCAGTCAACTTCTTATAACGTACTAAATCGAAATCATATAGCTGTACTTCAAACGATATCCTTACTAACAGTAAAATATACCAAAACTTTTTATTTCATTGATTGATTTTGTTTGTGTTTGCTTTTTAGGTACGTTTAGAAGATACCAGTTGGTCACTTCCTTTTCAAATAACGGAAGATACAATATTTTTGGCCTTGAGGAGATATGATGGTACTCGTAGATTTTTGAGGATAGAAGTTCGTGGCTACGAAGAAGGATCACGTTATATCATTGTGTTTCGTGTTGGATCAGCAGATGGCCCAATCAGGTACTTACATACCTGTATCAAGGTTTATGTTTCGTTATAGTGCCTAACTAATTAAAACTTTGATTCATCAGGGTTGAGAACAGAACTGGCAATACAATCAACTTACGTCAGAGTGGATTTGGTGAAGAAGCTTGGATTTTGTTGCCGCCCCTTTCAACAACAAATTTTTGTTGGGAGGATCCTTATAGCCAACATTCCTTAGATACTAAGATTAATAATGATAGTCGTATTCGAGTTTGGAAACTTAATACGAGCATGGGATTTTGCTCTTTAGAGGATGCCGAAACAGAATTATGTTGCCATGTGGCGAAAGAGGGTGATATTAATGTAGTTCGGTTCAGAGACAGACAGCATTTGGAATCTGGTTTTCATGAAGAGATTGGATACGTAACGGCTGCAAGAAATTGGAGGTCTCAAATGCAGAGACCGGTGCAAGATAGTGAAGCAGCACCCACTGAGCTTATAGTTGAGTTAGGAGTGGTAGGGATTTCTATTATAGACCACAAGCCAAAGGAACTGGCTTATATGTACTTGGAGAGAGTTTTTATCTCATATTCAACTGGATTTGATGGTGGAACAACAAATAGGTTTGAACACTTTCTTCTTGTCCCCTTGGCGATAATTCCCTTTGACATTTTAACTGGGAATAGTTGACTTAATCTCTTACTGTGATAATTCTTTTCCTGGGCATCTTTGTTTAGTTAATACTTATTCGTCGCTTTCTTTGATCTCTCAGTGCTTTATTCTTTACACCAGATTTGTGGATAATGTCTGGAATTGATTGAGTGATGAAGTCTTAGGTTACGAGATTTATGAATCAAGCTGACAACTTTTATTTGGCAGGTTCGAGATCTCATTTGGTAATTTGCAGCTTGATAATCAACTCCCCCTTACATTGATGCCAGTGTTGTTGGCTCCTGAGCAGATCACAGATAGAACTCATCCAGCATTTGGATTGACAATAACAATACAGAATGAGAATATTGTTGGAATCCGAGTCTTCCCATACATTTGTGTTCGGGTAATGTATGATTTTAAATATTAGAATAACGAAGTAAGAAACTGTACCTTCATTAGCTCATTAAAACCTTGTTTTTCATGATAGGTCACAGAGAAATCTTGGAGGCTTAACATTCATGAACCAGTTATTTGGGCTGTTGTTGACTTGTATAATAATCTTCAGCTAGGTCGCTTACCCCAAAGTTCTAGTATCACTCAAGCTGATCCAGAAATACGCATCAAGTAAGATTTCCATTCATTTTTTCCGCACAAGAATGGTGGCATGTAGTTTTAGTTTTTGAGTATTGAGATAATCAAATTGACTGTAATCCATATCCACTTAACCTTTTGTGTTGTGATTTAACATAGTTGTGGAAGGATTAACCTTAACTTAGAAGATATTTATATAATCCAATCAAATAAGGAATCAAATAAGGAAAGTAGTTGACGTCTCTAATTTATCTTTATTGTTTCATAGAATCTAAGGATTATTTTAGGTCTATTGTTGTCTAGTATCTAGGGACTTATTTAAATTTATTATTGATCAAGTTTCGTTTGAGACCTTCATAGCTGCCGATCATCCATAAGTGAACCCTTCATAGCTGCCGATCATCCATAAATGAACCCTTCATAGCTTCCGTCCACCATTGGAGCCGTTTTTTTTATCTACAACTTCATCGCCGCAAGCAACTGTTATTTATTGTAGCTTCACGTCACAAGCATCTGAAAGTAGCCGCAAGCAACCGAGCCCATTCTTATTCAGCCCATCAGCCATTCATTGATCCAACATACACTCAGCACCACAAACCCACCATATCACCGCAAACACCCCACTTCCAAATCCTCCGCTTGATCACAAATAAATACAATCCTATTAAATAAATGAAATAGTTGACCTCCCTGAGTTATCTTTACAGTTACCTAGTATCGAAGAATTTGTTGAGGGCCTATGTTCGAACCCCTGTAATGTCATTTCCTCTCTAATTAATATTCATTAATTTTGATCTCAATTCATTTAGTTATTTGTATTTACAGTCTCGAAGAGCACCTGTGCTTTTCCTATTGATTACAAAAATCGGGATTCTAATGGTTCTGTTTACTTCTTCAGCCTAATAGAAATATCTGAAGTAAAGCTGAAAGTGGTACTGGAGCCGGCACCAGCACAAAGACCCCATGGAGTTCTAGGCATATGGAGCCCCATACTGTCAGCCGTCGGGAATGCATTCAAGATACAGGTTGAGTTAATCTTTCATAATTTTATGTTGAAAAATCAAGAAACGTTTACCCTAGAAGCTAAAAGCTACAGTGTACATCATACCACGGTCTTCTTTTAAAATTACACTCTTAATCTGTATATGGCTAGGAGTGTGCCGAACCGTGCACTGGACCTTTTCATTAGTTTCCTATGTTTTCTGTCTTTCTTCTGAATAATTCAATTTCGGTTTGAAGATGATGCAGAGATTTATAATTGAGATCTGCTCATTAGTAGCCAAAATTATCATTTTCTTTCTGTGAAATTAAAAAATAATTTTTAAAAGGTAGAATGGTTACTAGTAAAAGGTCAACCTAAGCATAGTTCAACTAGTTATGGATTATATCCTCGATTAAAAGGACAGGCCTTCGAATCCTCATCCCATGTTATGTTGTTGAGCTCAAAGAAAAAGTAACTAGTAAATTAGTAGTTTGTCTACTCTCTTGGTTCGTATCATTGTTAAAAAATTTGTTGATTAATGCTACTTCTCTTCCAGATTGTATTGCAAGTTTAAATCTCCATTTAATCTAAGGAAACCATTTTTAAAAGTAATTCTACCGTTTTCTGCACGTCCATTCATAAATCTATTTGTAAGACAGTTTCAAGGCATCCTATGGTGAAAACATACACTGCTGCATGTCATTTCAGGTGCATCTAAGAAGAGTGATGCGCAGGGATAGATACATGCGTGAAAGTTCTATTCTTCCTGCCATTGGAAACCGCATCTGGAGGGACTTCATTCACAATCCTTTACACCTAATATTTTCATTGGATGTTCTTGGCATGACAAGCTCAACATTGGCTTCACTCAGCAAAGGGTTTGCCGAACTTTCAACTGATGGCCAGTTTTTGCAATTGCGGTCAAAGCAGGTATCTTAATTTCATAATTTGCAATTAATAGGCCTTTGTTGAAAGATTTGACTTATAATTGGGGGCAGGTATGGTCACGGAGAATCACTGGTGTACGTGATGGAATAATCCAAGGCACAGAAGCTCTTGCTCAGGGTGTTGCTTTTGGGGTGTCAGGCGTGGTAACAAAGCCTGTGGAAAGTGCTAGACAGAATGGTTTAATTGGTCTGGCTCATGGATTAGGACGTGCATTTCTTGGATTTATTGTACAACCAGTTAGTGGAGCATTAGATTTTTTCTCACTGACTGTTGATGGAATTGGTGCAAGTTGTTCCAAGTGTTTAGAGGTTTTCAGCAGGAAGGTTTCTTCCCAAAGAGTTAGAAACCCTCGGGCCATTCATGCTGACAGTATTCTTAGAGAGTACTGTGACCGAGAAGCTCTTGGACAGGTATCTTTCTATATGTACCTAGCTATATGTGTGCAATGCTGATAGTTTTCAACATTTTATTGTTTATCTCCACTTTTCGGGTAACATGTCATAAGCAAGCAGAGTAATTGACTAATTTTTGTATTTCATCATAACATTAAATTCAAGTATTACTCTTATTCCTTCCAGTTATTACCTTTTGCATTGAATATTCTGTAATTCACTATTAGATTTCCAAATAAAATCATAATCTTGGTATTATGAATATTCCTACCTTGCCTTTCCTGCCTAATTCAATACCAATGAGTACATCATTTATAAGTTTCTGTACATGTTTGATTGAGCCCAAAAAATGTCATGTTGTGTTTGTTCTGCGCAATCATGTACGACAGAGCTATGCTAGGGTATCTAGTGTAATCTACCCAAACGTTTTGCTCAAGTATTTAGACAATATTGCCCTTGTGTGAACAATTTGGTGTACTGTCTGGATAGGTTAGGTGGGGCCGAACCTTTCTTTTATTCGGACAACCTAAGCCAAGCTCATCCAAAATTTAAGAATAGTTTCTAAACTTCTAGCATAATGTATGAATGAAAGGCTAATGTGCGTCAAAAAGCTGCCTAAACCATGATTTATGAAGGAGATGGTATCTCTGATTCCAAAGACTTGGTTATTCTTCATGCTTTTAACTTATTTTCTTTATTTAGTGAAATAGGAAGTCACATCCATGAAAGATAATGAATATTGTGAATTGTATTTATAACTTTATTTCAAGCCCTCTTTTAACTGTGATGGTCTTATCCTTTTTCTTTCTGTGGGTAGATGGTTCTTCATCTTGCAGAAGGAAGTACACATTTTGGTTGTACTGAAATCTTCAAGGAGCCTTCAAAATTTGCATTTTCTGATTATTATGAAGAACACTTCATTGTACCTTACCAGAGAATTGTTTTGGTAACGAACAAGAGAGTCATGCTGCTTCAGGTTCGCAAATACCCTTGTTCTGTTGCCTTTATTGGTTTTAATATAATCTCTTCTATTCTTGATATTTGCCCCCTTCTATGTTACTATTTAGTGCTCAGATCCTGGAAAATTGGATAAGAAACCTTGCAAGATTTTATGGGACGTTCCTTGGGAGGAGCTCATGGCACTGGAGTTGGCAAAAGTGACTAACAGTCACCCTTCTCACTTAATCATCCATTTAAAAACTTTCAAGAGGACAGAAAATTTTGCTCGTGTTATAAAGTGTCATATTGAAGAAATTGTAGGAAGAGAACCTCAAGCTGTCAGGATTTGTTCAGTGGTTCGTAAATTGTGCAGAGAATATCAATCTGACATGAAGTGCCTTGTCCTTAAGGTCAGCATCATCGGTTTTATCCACTTCATTGTTGTGAGCATTGAACTTTTTGGCTTAGATTCTTTCTGAATGCTTTAGGTTCCCTCAAGCCAGAGACATGTTTATTTTTCATCGAGTGAAGCTGATGGGAGGGATGCAAATAATTTAAACAAATCCATTATTAGATCGAGGGAGCTTTTGTTATCCAGTTCCTTGAATGATGAAGGAAGATTTGTGAAACGCAGTATGAACTTTACGAAGGTTTGGAGCAGTGACCTTGAGTTAAAAGGTCGTTGCATATTGTGCAAAAAGCAGGTGCTTTGTGTTCTTTCATCATTTTTAACCAATTTAAACTACTTTAAATTTATGAGTTTGAAATGACCGATTTCATTTTAAATTTATGTTTCCAGGCCTTAGAGACCGGAGGGATATGTACCATATGGAGACCAATATGTCCCGACGGGTAATGCCCACATCGATTAAATAATACTTTTGCATTATGTCTGTTTAGGTTACAACTTGCAACGTGCAACTTTTTTATTTTCCTTCATTTATTTATTTATTTATTTCTTATTTTCCTGTTAGGCCTCCCATTATAAGCCAATTTTATTGAAGGGGTAAAAAGGGAAATAACCTATAGACAGTCCTTTAGTGGGAGATGTTTTGTCGGTATTTCTTGATCTGACGCTGGTTATTCATCGAGATCTAGGTTTGTCAAAGAATTAGGAGATATTTGTATAATTTATGAGTAAGTATCCAAGCGAAAAATGAATGATATCTATTACTAAGCTTGAGTGGAGTGTCGAACGATATCTATTACAAAGCGGAAAATGAATGATATCTATCAAAGGACGTGTAATTCTCGGGAAAGAAATAAGAAAAACAGCAAGCTAATTTAGACTTGCAACACGGATCACACAGATGAAAAACGGGCTTTCGGGCCAAGTGTTTCTGCTGTTATGTCTGTGTATCGTTGGAAGGGGTAAAATCTTTGAACAAAAGCAATCCAATGAGCATGGATTTGACTTATGTTTGTCTGAGAATATACCCTTTGTAATGAGTTTGATATCGTGAGTTCATGGGAACCAAACAATGTTCCCATTGACACAATTCTCGAATTAATGAACAAAATTCATCTTTTATCTACACTAAGACAATAGAGATTTATTTCATTTCAGGTACGTCTCCATTGGGGATATAGCCCATCTCGGCAGCCATCCTCCAAATGTTGCTGCTATTTACCGTTACATGGAGGGAATGTTTGCACCGCCAGTGGGTTATGATTTGGTAAGAAATTTTATTCCAAACTACTACTTATCAACCCTTTTCACTGTCCTAATCATTAGAATTTAACGTGCAACTGAAGAACATGTCTTAATAGCAATAGCACGTAGTGCCAATAGTCTCCTTTTTTGTCCCATTGAATAAAGATTGAATCCTTGTCTTGGGGATTTGGCCGAAACTCTTTTTTCTTGAAACCAGAGGACAAGCAGCGATACCAGTTATAGGGGGCGAAGGAGTCTGAGGTGTCGGGGGTCATTAGAATTTAACGTGCAACTAAAGAACATGCTTTAACTTAAATCCATCGCAACACAATGTGCAAAGATTCCTCCTGAATGCTGAAGATTTGACTTTGAAACCTCTGCAGGTATGGAGAAACTGCCAGGATGACTACATAACTCCTGTATCAATCTGGCATCCAAGGGCTCCAGAAGGCTTCGTCTCTCCAGGATGTGTGGCAGTTGCCGATTTTGCAGAGCCAGGGCCTAACATTGTGTATTGTGTGGCGGAATCTCTGGCTGAGGAGACAGTATTTGAAGAACAAAAGATTTGGTCGGCACCGGATGCATACCCTTGGGCGTGTCATATCTACCAAATGCAAAGCGATGCGCTTCACTTCGTCGCTCTCAGACAAAGCAAGGAAGAATCCGACTGGAAGCCGATGAGAGTTCTAGATCAACTTCCCAGTCTGTTGCCGTCATCAGGAAACCACTGATGTTATATGAACTGATGTGCATAATTCAGCTTCACAACACATAGATTTATATGAACAACGTATTTTGCAGTCAGGCAGAAAGTCATTTGGTGCACATGGTGCAAGATTTTGTCCCCGATATGTATTAAACTGTACTTCGTTCTATAAAATTCAAGCTTATAAGTACCAGAGAGTGAACATGACTAGTCATCAATTTTTAATTTTTGTGCCTACTATAAATAGTTGTAAATTTGTTGCCCTGAGATGGGTTAAATGACGAAAATAAAGGTGTCACAACTTGTTGAAAAGATCTGGAGTTGACTAAAATTTTCAGTGGGTTTTATGGATAAAATCATGTGCGGTTCTTTAAAATTTCTGTAATGCATTAAAGCAGAATATTGCAGATCTGTTGTTTGGAAGGGGAATGTATGTAATAAAATAATAGCATGATGCATAGTTTAATCTCTGTTCTGTCTAAACATGCATATTTATGATGGACGACATTGATTGTGCCTATCAAAGCTACTAAATGACTGGTGAAAATGTGTAGAAAACAACAATATGAAAGCAATCTAACAGGTTACACAAAAAAAAAAAAAAAAAAAAAAAAAAAAAAAAAAAAAAAAAAAAAAA